GCTGTTTGTGGTTGAGAATGAACTCAAGCCAATTAAACTCCTCTCGTGGATTTATCCTATGTGTGTGTGTGGTGTGTGTGTGTGTGTGTGTGTGGTGTGTGTGTGTGTGTGTGTGTGTGTGTGTGTGTGTGTTGTGTGTGTGTCGGTATGTGTTGAGAGTGTGTGCCTCCATCCATCTTCTGTCCCTCCCGCCGCCCCTTCGTCTTTCACAATCCTTTGCTTTTCAGTGTTGAAGGCAGGGGGAGGAGGAGGGGGGTGAGGAGGTGTGTGGGGGGGGTGCAGATGGTCTGGTCAAAGAGAGAGAGAGAGAGAGAGAGGCAGAGAGTAAGTGGCGAGCGGCGGGCTTTTTTGGCAGGGTCAGCCAGTGGGAGGGCCCATTGTGATGCAACGTTGCATAAATAATGCCACGGGGCTTCTAAATGCTCCGTTGCCATGGGGACCTTTGTGCCTCAGTGCACCCTGTGTGTGTGTGTGTGTGTGTGTGTGTGTGTGTGTGTGTGTGTTGCATGTCCCCCGAGGAGGTAGAGAGAAAGAGGGGCTGAGTTGCAGTCAGCTCAAGTGACACTTGTAGTCTCTCTCTCTCTCTATCTCTCTCTCCCTCTCGCTCTCTCTCTCTCTCTCTCTCTCTCTCTCTCCCTCTCTCTCTCTCTCTCCTCGCTCTGTGTGAGTCGGGACAGACGAGTGTTTGGAGGAGGGAGAGGGAACATTGTTGTTTTTTGACTGGAGAGGAGAGAAGAAGAAGAGCGGGATAGTGTTAGACTGTGTCCATGTTCAGTATGGTCCATGTGAAGGTACGTGTGCTCACTGCTTCCTGTCCTCTTCTTTTTCATTCTTTTTAACACTCCATCCTGGTCTCCTCTGCAGTAACAGGTGTCCCCCTGTCAGCCCTGAAATGGAGGGAGCAGAGCTCAGAGGGGTTAGAGGGGAGAAAAGGAGGGAGCGAGGGCTTTTGTTTGCATGTTTTCAAGAAGCCTTACAACACAGATTCTCACAGCTTCCACTTCCAGTGAGTTAGCTTTCTGAGCCGCTCAGCCTCTGCGGCAGGAGGAGTGCCAAACAACAACAACAACAACAACAACAACAACAACAAAGAAGAGCTTAAAAAGTGTCTGATCGTGTCTTCATCTGCTGTGGAGATATGGCGAAGTAGGTTTGCTTCCGTCTGACACCAGCTGATGAGACTGATGAGACTGTTCTGAGAGGAGTCAGATCACAAAAATAAAAGAAAGATGCAGTTTGTCTCCAGTGAAGTCGTCTTTAGTTTTACCAAAGTGATGAGATGTCGTCTGGCTCTCCGTTTGTTTTGTACCAAGCTGCAGGTTTGTGCTTTGCATCAAAGACTCACAGCTTGTGTCTTCACATGACTCTTAAAGTGATTTCTCTTAAAACGTCTTGCAGCTGATTGGCTGCTCGCAGCAGTGAGTGATCTCAGGCCACTGGAGAGTTTTATTACTCTGCTTTTATTTCTATCCATTCCAACCATAAGTTATTATCAGCTCAGTGAACACAGCCGCCGCTGCACGGCTGCAGCAGCCAACTGATTTATTTTTTTACATTTTCATCACCGTCAGTAAACACGTCTATGTATCATCATGTTGACTTTGTAAACAGAGATGAATCTGCATGTTAGACTCACTTTGATTCACACTTAAGAGACTTAACAGCAGTGTGTGTGTGTGTGTCAGTGTGTGTGTGTCAGTGTGTGTGTGTGTGTGTGTGTGTGTGTGTGTGTGTGTGTGTGTGTGTGTGAGCATTACAGCATCTCACAACATGTTCCACATGTAGTGTTTTATAAGTGAACATATCTGCTGCTTGGCCGGCGCTCAAAGCTCTCGACTGTGACATGAAGTCGATGGGAAACTTGAGTGTGTGAGCTTCATGCACAATCCATGCAGATACACACATGCTCATGCGCAGATGTAATGCAAACATGTTCCTTGTTTGTGTGTGTGTGTGTGTGTGTGTGTGTGACCATATGTGTGTCCACTCACCTTAATTAAAAAGAGATGGTGATAATTACAGTCACATTTGCAGTTTGATTAGCTAACTGATTTCATTAGTGATTCATTAAAGTCAAACAGCATCGTCCTGGTGGAGAGGCTGACGCTGCCTCAGGGGGGCGGGGGTCTCTCTCTGCTCCCAGTCGCTACACTCATTCTTAACATCACGTTTAATGAAACATACAAAAAAACATCCACAGTTAGCCGGATGGACTCAGCCCGCGATGGGGTTGCCATGGTTACTTCTTCTCTCTGCTTTTTGGCGGATTTGCAAACCAACTATGTGAGTAGCGCCACCTGCTGCATCAGACTGTGAACTTACACACGTGTACTCAGGTACAGAATGATGGTACCTGGGCAGACCAGAGAGGGGAGGTATGAAGCATCGTGCTCTTATAGCTCTCATCAGGACACCAGCTGAGAGTCATAAATATAACCATGTACTGTACGTTGGCGTTATTCTCTTAAACGCAGACTGACTTTTGTTTTCCACCTTCAGATCCCAGAGGTGACGCGTTTCAGATTTAAGATGAGCGTCTCTGTATTCACATGTCCATGGTACATCTTAATCATTGAGGTTTCTGAGTTGTAAAACATCGCTCTGTGGAATCAGCTGATGGAAGAGCGGCCAACATAAAGCCTGTAATCAGCTACTGCTTAGTTTGGCTATCAGGAAATGACAGGTTATTCATCAGGCTTTGAGCAGCATGGATTACACAGAAACAATGACAGAACAGATCACTCAGATCTTATACATCCTAAATGTTTCAGTCTCTGTTTTTTTTTTTAAATGTCTCAACAAGTCGACGCTCATTAGAGTCAGGAACAGTCCGTCTGCTTTCCTGCACTGATTCCACTTAAGAGACAACTTGATGCATAAACTGTTAAAATATGTCAGTGAAAGTTGACCTTTCTGAAATACTCCATGAACTTTCTGGGTAAAATCTACCTCGTGGTTTTCTCATTGAAATGGTCTTCTTATTGTCGAGGAAATAACTAAGACTTGACTCCACACAATAAGACTCAGTTGACTCAGATGGCTTACGTTGATGAAAGTTTATACATAAGAAGAATACTCATGAGGAGACATGATTCAACACCACACTTATGTACTCATGAGGTGCTCAACCACATCTGCAGAACTTTTTGAAAGGCATCGCATATATCCTAAAAGACATTATCATTATCAGGGTCACATTGACCCACCTAGACTAATCTGTGACGTCTATAACACTGGAGCAGACAATAAGTCTACCAAACATCCTTACAGATATCAGGAAGAACAGTTGACACTCTCTAAGCTGTACATGGTGTTCTAACAACAGCTGAACTCTGTCAGGTCTGACTGACATGTCAACAGTGAATAAACCGAATGACATCTGTACATTATAATCTAAATAACTACAGAAATTCCACCACACTTGTAATTCAGTAGAAGTTGGAGAAGCTGCTTCATTGTTCACAACACTGCTGGACTAGACAGCTGGAGTTGTTTCCTGTTTGAGTGTCCCGAGTATCGGCGAGCGACTCAGAGCTCTGTCACTTGAGTAGATTGATAACTATGTTCTCCCTCAGCAGAGCGTGTTAGCTTGTTGACTGCTACTTCACTGACTGTGTGTCTCATTGTGAGTCATGTTAGTCAGAACACTCAAGAGGTTTCTCCAGAATGAAGGCTGACCACGCTGTGTACCCGTGCTCGTGTATGAACTGTACCGTGTTGAAGAACAATGAAAGGCGTCTGATCCAACCTTCACAACAGGCTCCTAAGACGCTGACTAGACTCGCCTCCTCTGTCGCCCCCCGGTGGTGGAATGAACTTCCAAACTCCATTGGATCTGCAGAGTCCCTCTGCACCTTTAAGAAAAAGCTAAAGACCCAGCTCTTTCATGAATACCTACTAACTTAATGATGATGGTCTCCATATTATTGATGATGATGATGGTAATGACGATGGTTTTTGTTTGATAACGATGACTTATAAGATGGTTTCTATACTGATTAGAGCTCTCAAGAACTGCCGTCAATGTTGTGCTTTGCCTCTGGTCACTTCCTGTCAGCACCTGTGTGTCCAATTGGACTCAAAGCTGATCGTTTGCTCTTACTGACATTGTTCCCTTTTTTCTAGATCCTTGCTTGTGTTGTTCTTACTCTCTGATGTACTTCGCTTTGGGTAAAAGCGTCTGCTAAATGAATTGTAGAAGAGTGTCAGGTCAAAGGAAGTGTACCGAGCTCGAGCACAGAACGGAGCGCTTACACTCGTCAAACAAACTAGACTTTAGGGGGGAAGAGAGCTTAGGCACGGTACAGATGGCCTCTGTACCGTGTAGAGTGACCTGTGTTAAGATAATATAATAATAATAATAATAATAATAATCTTTATTTATAAAGCCCTTTTCAAAAACAAGTTACAAAGTGCTTTACAAGGACAGCAAATATAAAAACAGGCAGATCATAGGGTTAGGGTTAGGGTTAGGCAAGATTAAGGAATAACAATCACTTTAAGATATAAAATCCCTTTTTAAAAGAACTGTAAAATACATACAATCCTTTTAAAGGAATTCTAAAAAGTGAAATTAGTACAAATTTAAAATCAACAAAAATCAGGAGATAAGAGAGGGACAGTGAATAAAGAATGAATCAGACACACTAATGCTTTCTAATGAACCTGTCACTTTACCTCCAAACAAGAACAAGTCCCAAACTTCATCTGTTCTCCAGCGTCAGAGCGACACATGTCATGCTGCTGATTGTTTGAGGAGTTTGGTGTCACAGTCTTCTGTTGGCGTGAAACTGGCACACACTGCGTTATCTGGAATGATTTAGTCAGCACAGACGGCAGAGTCCATTTCACCACAATTAAAAACCTGACAGAGACATCTGAGCCAGAATGATGTTCAGGAGGACTGTAAATGTGTCAGTAAATAAACTCTCTCTCTCCCTCTCCCTCTCTCTCTCTCTCTCACACTCTTTCTCCTTCCCCCCCCCTCTCTCTCGTTCCAGGAGTTGCAGTTTGAACGTCTGACCAGGGAGCTGGAAGCCGAACGACAGATTGTAGCCAGTCAGCTGGAGAGATGCAAACTTGGCTCTGAGACTGGAAGCATGACAAGCATCAGGTGTGTGTGTTCTTCTTTGTGTGTCTGTCTCACACCTGTCAGATCCTCTTCTTGTGTGTGTGTGTGTGTGTGTGTGTGTGTGTGTGTGTGTGTGTGTGTGTGCGTCAGCTGCACTCTTGCAGGTGACTGGCTGTACAGCAGGTCACATTACGGGTACACATCTTGATCTGGTTCCAAAAATCATCTTTGTGGTTCAAACCACAGCGCAACAATCCAGTTGTTGGCACACACACACACACACACACACACACACACACACACACACACACATGAATTTACCCAATTAACACTCATCAGACACACACACTTGACTTTTTCTGGGCCTTTCAGGATTATTTTAAGGCCAGTTGTTTTTAGAAAGAATGTGATCACACAGAAGAAGGAAAAGAAAACCGTTTGTGATTCTGGTGCAGTGATATCAGAAATATGATTAAATGTGTGGAAAAACACACCTCCACATTGTTATGATCATTTGACCCCTTAAACAGCTGTCTGATTTAAAGCAACATGATTGGATGTCTGAGCTGCCCGTCTCTTACTGAGCAACACTCAAAGAGGTTTTAGAACTCCAGTAAATATGTTCATTTTGACCTCATTTAAAAAACACATACTGGCTGTTATCAGCTTTGACCGACGTCAGCCCACTTCCTGTTCTTCAAAATAAAAGCACATAGAGGTTTCAGGCTGTTATCACTTTATTAGATACATTTATTTGGAGAGTATTTTGGAGACAGCTGAATAATAACTTCAGACCTTATGCAATGTGCAGAGCGTGCCTGGAGGAAGGATTTAGTCCGTCCCTTACTCTGCAGACTCGACTTTATGGATCACATGTCCGTTCTGAAACTTAGACTGCACCACCTGTAGCATCTCTAAGCCCCGAGCTTTACAGAGGTCTGATGATTCTTACACAGTTCATCTTGATTTCATTTTATCACTTTTTGAATTACAAAACTTTTACTCTTTGAAAATTATGGGTTTTTTTAAGTATAAAAGTTAAACAGCCAGCCCTTGTTCCAAAGTCTTCAAATGCGGACGCTTTGTCAGAGCATCTTGCACAGGCACAGAAAATAACCTTTAGCATCTGTATGAGACACAGCTGGCTCTAAGCTAACGCCAATAGAAACCTGTGTGCATGGACTTGTTGACGCCTCCCGCTCGCTCTCATTGGCTATTGCGGTCATTCCATCAGTGTAAAACATGTTTGATATTTAAGATTTTGACTCGATCAGAAGCAATGAAATAATCGTATTGACGCATCGCACTGGAGGATAATTTGGACAAATAATGGGTTGCAACAAGCCTGAAAACAGCAGTGAGGAGCTGAATGCATGCACCAGTTAATCAGACTGGTGAATGAATGGGTTTAAAGGTGACATATTCTCCTCCTCTTCATCCAGTCTAAACAAGTGTCAGAGCTCCTCAAAACATGTGTGTGAAGTTTCTTGTTCTAAATCCACTCTGATCCTGTATTTGATCATGTCTATAAACCCCTCTATTTCAGCCCTGCTCAGAACAGGCTGTTTCTGTACCTTTAAATATGTAAATGAGCTGTGTCTGACCACGCCCCCTCTCTGGAAAGGCTTGGGTGTACTCTGTCTTTCTCGCTCCATGTCCTTTGTTTACGGTGAGAAGGCAGACTCAGAGGGCGGAACAAACACCTAGCTGTGGGAGTGTCACCCACCTGGGGGAGGGGCTGCTGCCCTTTGTGATGTCATGAAGGGAACATCTTCAAACGGCCTGTTTGAGCACACATTTTCTGAAAAGTGGAGCAGGCAGAAGATGGACTTTTCTCATCATTGGGGGGTTGGTAGACAGACTAGATACACATGTTAGTGTTAGAGAAACATGGGGAAGTGGATTTAACAGAATATGTGACATTTAAGGACATCCGTCCGCTCTTTGTCAGCTTGTTGCGAACCAAAAATCTGGTGCAAAATCTTGTGAGATCTAGTGTGTATCCATCTTAACCCTCATCAAAAAGACCTCTACACCATCCTGATATTGAAGGATGAAAATTACTGTCAGTACAAGACACCCTGATGAGAATGCTTCATGCTCACTAAGAAGTTCACATTGAACTTAGAGAGTCTGGATGAAACATCTTCATATCTTTGAACATGACACGAACAGAGCTGAAATCTAACTCCCTGTCTGTTATAACCGGGTGTGACAGCATATTAGAGATTATCTTTTCTGCAGCAGGAGAAAGCATTAGGACATTCTTTAGGCAGAATATATCGACGCTGTCAGCAGAAGACTCGAGGTTGATCGAGGCTGCTTCCTTTCATAGCTGAAATGAGTTCCAACAAACCCTCAGCTCTGCAAACATGACGAGTCTTTGTCTATTACGAACTGCGATTGTGCAGCTGTCACTGGAATCAAATGGTGTGTTCAGGGCCCAAGAGGAGGTAAACTGTAAACAATGTGCAGACACTGCCTCATCATCTGCTGCTGATTGAGTTTGGACCCGAGCCTCATCTCTGCTCGGGCTCAAAGAACTCATTCTACACGATCCATACGAGTCCCGATGTGAAGACAGCACTCCTAACACAACGCTGCTAATGCACTCTGCCACTCAGGACAGACTAACACGATTACAGCCTCTCTCCCTCTCTCTCTGTTTCTCTCTCTCTCTCTCTCTCTCTCTCTCTCTCTCTCTCTCTCATACACATATGTAAATAAACGCTCACAATCCATCATCTTTTCTCCTCTTGGACTCCGTAAAGCGAGCGAGGGGATTCCATCCATCTCGAGCTAATCTGCCTTCTGCCTGTGCCGTAATTCTCATTTCAATTTGAGGGCTGGAGCGACAAAGAGTGGACGGATGGCCTTAAACCCATTCATTCAGCAGTCTAATTAACTGGTGCATGCATGCATTCAGCTGCCATGGGGCTGCATTCAGGGGGCCGGTCGACAACATGGGAGAACGGAGGAGGAGTCCAAAAGAGAAAAAGGAACTTGTGTTGGACTTCATCACGAGGCTGCACACGGATGAAATGAAGGTTGCCATGTTGCTGACTGGATTCCATGAGTTTACTATCAGGTGGATTATACTCTTCTTCTTAGCCATTTACTTTGTGTGACTTTGACGTGGCCATCAAATGGCCTGAGGCACGTTGTGTTCAATGACATCTGAATCGTCAGTACTGTTGCTGCTCTGAAGTTGTTGTTTTCTTCATCACTACTCGTCCCTCTGAATAAAAGTGAAAACATATCGGCTGCCTCGCCGCATGTGCAGAAATCTATCCTGGTTGAAGTTTTGGCGAGATGCACAGAGCTTCGGCGTCTTGGCACGATTAACGAGGAGCTTTGATTCGCTCCCAGAAGTTGAGCTGAACTCAAACTGTTCTGTTGTTTTGATGAGTTGCTTTGGCTGTTGGAAATGATGAGCTCTCTCTTTTGTTGTCTTCTTTATTCCCTGGTTTTCTTTTGGTTTCATCACATTAGCATGATTATGTTAGCGTGTCATATGTTGTCTTTTTAAAGCTCCTGTGAGGAAAGACGTTAGTTCAAACTGATTCTTCTATTCCTCTTAAATGTCAATGTTTTGAGTTAATTATTTGTGACTTTTAGTAAAAAAATAAATAATAATAATAATATATACGGCTGTGGGTCAGTGGTAGAGTTGGTCATTAACCGGGAAGTCGGGGGTTCGATCTCCAGCTCCTGCAGCCACATGTTCGATATGTCCTTGGACAAGACACTTAACCCTGAGTCGACTAGGAAAGCGCTAAAGAAGCTAAAGTCCGGGGTTAAGATATCATCCCATCACTTTTCAAACTTCTGCATGTAAAATAAAACTGTGAGGAGAGATGAGGTCTATGAACAATACAAACCTGAGTGTCTGACTGAAACAGATTCAAATATTTACTCGAGTTTGGTGTAAAAGAATCTGAGATGAGATTTTTTGGGACACGTGGCCGAGCCTCGGTGTGACTCATGGTCACATTCTCCAGCTGTTCCAGTTGACTTTGTCGCTCGGTTTGACAGCTCTATTTAAAGCGAACGTGCCGTTATCAGTTCTAAGGAAACAGTGTTCACTGACAGGCAGGTCAGAGCACAGTTTCATGCAGCAGGGTGTGGGGGCTGCTCGGGGATCTGCTCGTGTTGTGTGGTCGGAGATAAAGACTTTCAGAGGTGCTAATGAGTCTCTCAGCTCTGCTGTTGTTACCAGCGTGAATTAGTCACCACAGGTCACAGAGTCTGCCACCGCCATGCTGCTGCTTTATCACTTCAAAAAGCACGAGTGTGTGTGTGTGTGTGTGTGTGTGTGAGTGTGTGTCTCCATCAGTCAAACTGAGACTACATCTTTGTCCTCAGAAGGAGGAGCGTGATGTGCCTTCAGTTAAAGGATCATTCTGCCTGAAATGTCAAGCTTTCTGTTCAGTATTTACTGGTTCTCTTTGGCTCATAAGAGGAGGAAATGATTGCATGGCGGGACTGAAAGATGATGAATGAGTGTGATCGGAGTTGTTCTGTTCTTATTTTCTGAATGTTTCATTTCACAGCTACATCGTCTTTCTGAGGTCAGATAGTGGATTCACAAAGGTCCAGTCGGTCTCCGGCGTTATAGGAGAGCAAAGTGTTGCCTGTTTGCCTGCTTACCGTCCCTTTATCTAACCATCCAAGTGGACGACTGGCAGCGAGCACACGATAAAGATATCTGAGCTGTGTTGACACAGCGGTGGCCCTTACACTCCGCCTGCAGAGGACTAGCCCGCTCCAACCGCGTGCTAGCTCTCTTCCTCTTTTGGCTGTGCACATTTGCGACAGTTGTCTGCTAATCAGACGCTCGTCTGGCTGCTGAGCGTGTGTGCGCTTGTACATAAGCATTGGCTGTAACCACAGCACCCGGCAGGACCCACCACCACTCGTCTGGCGGGGAGAAAGCGACCCGTCTAGCGAGCCCAGCGAGAGCCCATTACCCAGAAGCTGTCAAGTCGCTCGTCTGCCAGCTTCGACTCGACAGCCCTGTGACTCAGATTATGTGCAGCACA